GGGGGGGGGGGGGGGGGGGGGGGGGGGGGGGGGGGGGGGGGGGGGGGTGTTTGCACAGCAGCCTGTCCCCCCCCACCCTGCCTGCCCCCGGGGTAAAGAGGCAAAATGAACGTGCAGCACTGCCCAGCGCACCGATCAGCAGCTCCCTGTGCTTCAGAAATGAGACCAGGATGCTGCAGAGCAATTCTAGCTGTAAAATAGCTTTATTGCCGCTGTCCCCGCTGGGGAAGAAGGCAGAGCAGCGTTCCCTCCCACAGCGCATCCTTGCTGGAGAGTTCAGGGAGGGCAGCCCTCACCTTGGGCAGGTCAGAAGGGCTGGGGGGTGGTAGCGTCGACGTGGCTCATCTGGCCTGTCCCCAACTTCCCACAGCTGCTTCCCCTTCCCTGGTACGTTCTCGGCAGGGAGAGGCTCTCGCCTTCCCACAGCGCTGGTCCGGCAGCTCTCCGCACCATGCGGGTGTTTCTCTGCTGGCCGGGGCAGCTCCTGGCAGTGGTGGTGCTTGTGTTGCAGCTGGCTGGAAGTCTTGGTAAGTGTCGCTCCCCTGCTCGTTTTCTTTGCTTCTGTGGCTCAGCTTTGCTTATGGATCAAATATGTAATGATCGGGTTAGTAAAATTCAGCAGGAAACCTTCCTCTACCTGAAGTCACTGCTAACCTCTTTCTGTGCCTGATGTTCTTGTAAGGATGATCTGAGCTCAGTGGCTGCTGCTAATTGCCCATTTCTCCTCTTTAGCTGCACCTCTAGATACTTGCAAAGAGACACCCAAAATTCCCAATGCTTTACAAAAGTCTTATGTTGGGGTACGGATCCCCCCCGGGACTGGTGTTAAGTGCAGCTGGCTCAGAGCCTACGAGCTGGTCCCTGGGACAGCCCGGGCCAGGTCTCTTGTCTGCAGAACTTCTCCTGGTCTGGGGTTCAGAACTTGTGTCGCAGGGAGTATATCGCCCTTTGCCTTGATCATCCGTGCAGTAGCGAAGTTGTTCCCAGGGTTGGAGGGTGTCCCTACGATCTAGGGATCAAAGATGCGGATGGTGGTAAGATGGGGAGAGTCAATTAGACAGGTAATAGTTTTTACCAGTTAATTAAAAGGGTCATAGTTAGCAATTTGAGTGCTATCAGGTTGATACCAAGGTTGGTGCTTAAGCACTGAGGCAGCCTGTAGGCATCTTGAGGGTATCTGGTGAATTGTCGTGCATCCTGCAGGCTGGCTTCAGTACAGGAGAAGTGGGGGTTTGCTGACTAACGTCTCTATGAAGGGAAATAACTCAGTTTCTGCCTGGAAGTTGACAGTTCCTTTAAAAACAGGCCTTTTGAGACACTGCTCTAGTGTGCACAGCGCTGCCCAGCGCCTCCCTGCAGAGGCATCTGCTGCCCCCCGGCTGCCAGCACCGTCTTTACAACCTTTTTTTTTTTTTTTAAATTCATGGTGCTTCTCAGTCCATTTTCCAAATCCAAACGTTACCGACGGGGTGCCGATACCTGAGCCTGGGGCCTGGGGAAGACATGTACGAGTATGGAGACGCTCTTTCCATGGGTATTGGTATCAAAGACAGCATCGCCAGCGCTGCCCAGGCGCAGTGCAGGTGTGATGGCGCCTGGGATGCTGCTGTACCAGGGTGTGAACCAGGTATGATTTTAAGAGACACACTGTGTCCTGGTGACCTGCCAGCATCTATTGTAGGGCATGAGGAAATCCCAGTTATAGCTGCCTCTAGTTTAGTTTTCTCTGTTGTTATAGTTTGTGACCAGCCCCAAAATATTTCTCATGGGAGATACGGTAGCTGGTCGAAAAAGTTTTTTGTTGGGACATCAGTGATGTACATGCGCGATAGAGGTTACGCCGTTGTTGGAGAGCCTCTTGTTTGTTGTAAAGCTGGAGGTGGGGTGCCAGCCCCCTGGAGTCACCCCACCCCTGAGTGCGCAGGTGAGTCGTATTGCAACCTGCTAGAGCAAGTGCTATTAGGAAAGGGCAGAAATAGTGGTTGACTGTGTGCAATGGAAATGCTGCACTTGTGGAGTCGTGCTGATGATGGCTGCTCAAACACGCTTATTAACCCCTAATCTCTCTGCCTCAATTGCTGCATTTGTTAAACTGATTTGTCTTCTCTTACTTACCAGCCGGAGGTGCAGTGACAGTTGGTCACCGTAGCTGTAATCAGTAAGAATACCCCTGAAAAGCCCTGTTTGTTTGGTGATCCACAGAGGTTCAGTGTCCCATCCCAGTTATCGCACACGGACAGCTGAAACCTGCACAGAACTTCACCTATGGCAGCGTAGCCACACTCGAGTGCGATGCCGGCTACATCCCGCTGGGTGCCACCACCACCATGCGGTGCCTGGGCAGTGGCAGATGGCATCCGCGGGTGCCCGCCTGCACCCTAGGTACGCACAGATCTCTTTTCTTCTTACTTTGTCTCCCACGTGTAATTGCCTGCTTGTGTTTCACTAGAAGCTGGTGCAGTGTTGGCAGGAGAGGGGTTGGAGGATGGGAACCACAGCGAGCTGTACTGACGTTCGGTGGCAGGATTCCCCTCTGCTCTTTCATCGCCCCTGGGTAACGCGGCAGGGCTGTCCTGATTAGGCTGTCCTACCTTACTGCAGGGTACAGCCAATGAGATGCAAAGCGCACGGGAATAAAGGCTCTCGTTAGATTCACACCACTTGGTGAATTTGTCACCATTATTTTTTTCCATTTCTGTTCACCCCCCATACCCCACGGCAATGCTCAGGGTCACTGCTGTCCCTTGCTTCTTTCTGGGGTTTCTACTCTCGCCCGAGGGGCAGGCTGGGTTCCCCCAACGGCAGGGCTCAGCTTTGTCCCCGGTGGGTCTCTGGTGAAGACCTCCCAGCTCTGAGGGTCCGTGCTGTCCCCTGCTCTGGCACCAGGTCACTGTCCCTACCCTCCTGTCGTCGACCATGCGGACCGAAACCTTCAGCGCGAGTTTCCAGTTGGGACAACCGTGACCTATTTCTGCAGATCCGGATACACTTTGCTCCCCGAAGTATCTCCAATAACTACTTGTCTTAAAAATTTCACATGGTCCGTAATCCCCAAGCTTTGCCAGAGTAAGTATGCCATTTCCTTTGCTTTGCCAACAAAACATCAATTTAATGATGTGGAAATAACATCGTTTTCAGATACCAGCTAGTGGTGCTGTGCCATAAGGACTTTACTGAGCAGTGCTTTGGCTCTCTCTAATAATAATTTTTTGTTCAAAGGGTAGCATGGCTGAAAAGAAATAGCTGCGACTCACGCTGATTATTTAGCTGTTCAAACAATGATGCAGTGAGTAACATCATCCCCTCAGCACAACTTATAGCTAATCACAGGGTTCAGATCATTCTGCCTTCCAAGAGTAATGGTTGTTATCGCATAATTACCATCCCCGAGCATGCCAGGTCTGGTTAGAGACGTCTCAGCGTTAACAGGCCGCCTGGCAGGTTCTCTGGGTCAGCGAGCCACCACTGTGGGAAAACACCCCCCGTGCAAATGTCTCCTGCTCTCCCCTCCTGACCCAAATCATGGAAGCTCTTTCTGATGCTGGTGTTCCTCAGAGGTGCAGTGTCCCAGCCCGGCTATCCGCCACGGGAGAGAGATCAGCCCCAGGAAAGACGAATACACCGTTGGGCACCAGGTGGAATTTCAGTGTGACCCCAGCTATGTGCTGAGGGGCAGCCAGAGGATCCAGTGCTGGTCTGACGGGACGTGGAGACCCCCCGTGCCGTACTGCGACAAGGGTGAGCATGAACGGCGTGAGCACGGCAGGTGCCGGGAATTGCATCTCTGCAGTGGGTAGGAACAGCAGCAAGAAAATCGTGTAACCTGAGCATCACTTCTCGGAGAAGGTGGTGTTAGGAGAAGGGGTCCAAGTCACAGCATTAGATGGCTTTAACATCCTCATCTTCTATCAAAACTGTAATTGATTAAATGTGTTGAGTAATGGGACTTGCAGCCATTTCTCAGAGGACTGTTCAAGGGGTTTATGATACTCGCAATTCCCTGACCCCGTTTATGAGCAGGATCATTTCTCATGGAAAAGAGGAGGGGATAAGGGAAGGCTGAAGGGGAGGGGGTGGAGGCACATGCTGAGGTACTGGGGCCATGCCGTGCCAGGGTGGTTAGCTGAGTCAGTCTGGGAACACTGGCAGAGCCATGGCCGAACCTGGCAAGAAGCGAGGAGGACTTTGAGGAGAGCAAGCCTAAGTATGAACATCGAGAACAGGTTTCTCTTTTACTTCCCTGCACTTCTCTGTCTCCCTGACCGAATGAAGAAAATCCTAATTTTTCCTTTCTCTATTCTCTCGTAGTTTGTGGTCCCCCTCCAAAAATCACCAACGGGCAGCACTCTGGCTTGAGAACGGAACAGTTCCCCTATGGCTTAGAAGTGAAGTACAGCTGTGTGGAGGGTCTGTCTCTCATTGGGAACGACTCCATCTACTGCACCTCTGATGATGGGGTGAACCTGGCGTGGAGCGGACCTGCCCCAGAGTGCAGGGGTGAGTCGTTTCTCCTGTATGGGATCAGACTGAAGCCAGGACCTGGGCACAACATTAGTGCTCAGCACAACGGGATTAGAAGTGAGCAGGGCTGCTGGGAGATCTGGTTTCCTTTGCAGGCTGCTTCGCAGGCTTGACGGCTCCAGACTGGGGATGATCCATGTGGAAATAGAAGACTGATTCTCCTACGTTGATGGCCATCAGGCAG